GACGTGATCTCGGCCCACTGCAAGCTCCGCCTCCTGGGTTCACGCCATTCTCCTGCCTCCGCCTCCCGAGTTGCTGGGACTACAGGCACATGCCATCATGCCCGGCTAATTTTTTTTGTACTTTTAGTAGCGACGGGGTTTCTCCGTGTTAGCCAGGATGGTCTCGATCTGCTGACCTTGTGATCCGCCCGCCTCAGCCTCCCAAAGTGCTGGGATTACAGGTGTGAGCCGCCGTGCTCGGCCTATATTTTATTTTTAATTGACAATAATTATATGTATTTATGCGATACAATGTAATTTTAATTGTTTACATTGTGAAATTATTAAATCAAGCTAGTTAACAACTCTATCACCTCACGTACTTACCATTTTTTGTGGTGAAAACATTTAAAATCTATCATGTATATATGTTTAACACGGGTATTTTTCCCAAGGTTCAGCTGGGCTTAGTTTTCCTGGGAAAACTGGATTACAGTACTTATAAGTTTAATGGATGTGAAATTGATTGAATTTTAAGAAATCATAGCAAACTATATTCGGTTGAACCTTGGGGAAATATACTTGTAGAAAGATGATCATTCATTTCAATGCATGTCTGCTACTCGAGGACTCTCATTTTGTAAGCATACTAGGGGAGTCGAATTAGTAAGGAGCAGATTAGATCACTTGATACATATCACCTTATTTATACATACATATATATGTATATGTATGTGTATGTGTGTATATATTATATATATATATATTTTTTTTTTTTGAGACAAAGTTTCACTCTTTCACCCAGACTGGAGTGCAGTGGTGCAAGGTGCAATCATAGCTCACTGTAGCCTTGAACTCCTGGGCTCAAGCAATCCTCTTTCCTCAGCTTCCCAGATAGCTAGGACTATAAGCATGCATCACCACACCTGGCTAATTAAAAAAAAATTTTTTTTTTGGCCAGGTGTGGTGGCTCACGCCTGTAATTCCAGCACTTTGGGAGGCCAAGGCGGGCAGATCACGAGCTCTGGAATTCGAGACCAGCCTGACCAACATGATGAAACCCCATCTCTACTAAAAATACAAAAAATGAGCCAGGCGTGGTGGCGGGCGCCTGTAGTCCCAGCTACTTGGGAGGTTGAGGCAAGAGTATTGCTTGAACCTGGGAGGTAGAGGTTGCAGTGAGCCCAGATCACACCACTGTACTTCAGCCTGGTGACAGAGCGAGACTCCATTTCAAAAAAAAAAAAGCAATTTTTTTGTAGAGTTGGGGGTCTCACTATGTTGCCCAGACTAGTCTCTAACTCCTGGCCTCAAATGGCCCTCTCACCTCAGACTCTCAATGCAGTAGGAGTACAAGTGTGAGCCACCACACTCCAAAATTTTTCAATTAACGTTATTTATAAATATTCTCATAGATTGCCAATTTAGCTATTAGAGGGAAATCTAGTTTGCCTTATTTCCAAGTTCTCAGTGGGTTGTTTTGGAGGAAAGGAACAGAAACTACTCAGACCAGTTTAATCAATAAAAATGGAAGGGAGATTTATTGGAATGTAGGGATATCTCATAACTCAAGAGCATTAATCCTTAAGAGTTCAATTTCTTTTTTATTTTTTTATTTTTTTAAGTCAAAAGAACCCAAGAGCAGAAGGAGTAAGCACTGCTAGGCTTCTGAGAAACTGGAAAGGCAATCTGGAAAGGAGTCAGAATTCAAATGGTCCATTTATCTTTGAGTCTCTCCTTAGTATCTCAATTTCTTTCTTTCTTTTTTTTTTTGAGACAGAGTCTTGCTCTGTCGTCCAGGCTGGAGTGTAGTGGCATGATCTCAGCTCACTGCAACCTCTGCCTCCCAGGTTCAAGCGATTCTCCTGCCTCAGCCTCCTGAGTAGCTGGGATTATCGGCATGTGCCACCACGCCCAGCTAATTTTTGTATTTTTAGTAGAGATGGGGTTTTACCATGTTGGCCAGGCTGGTCTCGAACTCCTCCTGACCTCAAGCGATCCACCTGCCTTGGTCTCCCAGAGAGCTGGAATTACAGGCTTGAGCCATCGCGCCTGACATCAATTTCTTAATCTTTCTGCAGATGTGCTTTCTCTGATTTGACACATCTATCTGTGTACTTTGCTCCATAAATTCCTGAGGTCAGACTTGAATATAAAACCCAAGTACAATTTTCCAGGAGCAGGAAAATGATTGGCTGATTTGGGGTCAGATGAACACTGCTGGTACCAGTGGTCAGAAAGGTAAAAGTCATGTGACTACAGTCAGCTAGGAGGAGGGCTGTAGGTTTGCAGATGCTCTAAAGGTGTGGGAAGAACTGGAGGCAAAGGTGTGTAACTTTGATATGGAAGAAAGTTCACTATTATCACAGGTACTATCTATAATCACTAAGTTAGGTTGTTTCTACATCCAGAAAGCTGCCTGAGTCTGTTCTCTCTGTCATTCCTCTAATTCAGAGGACCCCAATGCCCCATCGTAGACCTGTGGCCTGTTAGGAACTGGGCTGAACAGCAGGTGAGCAGCTGGCAAGCAAGCATTACTGCCTGAGCTCTGCCTCCTATCAGATCAGGGAGAGCATTAGATTCTCACAGGAACTCAAACCCTATTTTTTTTTTTTTTTTTTTGAGACGG